CCTTGTGCCTCCAGGGGCTGCAGAGCTGATTGGCTTGATAAAGCACAGAGCATTCATTCCCTCAGCCAAGAGGCTGGGCCAAGGAACATAGGGAATGTATCCCAGAAAAGCTTCTACCAGGCCTCTGAGCCCTCCAGTTAACCTGTTGTCTGCCATGAGGAGCTGGCTGGGTGGGAGTTGGGACAGAAGGGAGTCAGACATTGTTAATTTTCTGTATTTCTGTATTTCCTTAGAGCATAGGAGTTGGCACCAGCTATTACTCTTGATTTGCAAGTTCTTTCCCTGTAAGTAGAGTGAGGATGTTTGTTCTCTCTGGATAGTCTCTGCAGGTGGTGTCTAAAATACCTGTATTCCCTGAGCTCTGGTCTTGCACTGAGCTATCCCAAGAAACTTCCAGCACCCTTTTGCACTGCCTGAAGCTGGGCTGTAGGTTTGAAATGTGCTTCCATTAGCCTGCCTTTCATTCAGAGGATTTGTGCTCCTGGGTGGTTACAAATCACAGGAATCCTGTTTCTGTGGGATTTCAGATCACTCTGATGTGGAATTAGCAATCCTGTCCTCTTAGAGCACCTGTGTCTCTCTATGACAAATGTTCTCCCTCTTCCTCAGGTTGAGTGAGTGTGTGTGGAAGGTTCCTTCTCTTCACATGAATAGGGCTCCTTAGATTGTTGGCCCTGAGCTGGTCCTGCTTTATTTCTGTACACAAACTGCAGGATATTTTGCTGCAGGATGCCTTGTCATCACTACTGAGGCTGGAGTTGGGCAATCCGGACAAGGCAAGCTGGAGAATCTTGTCAGGGTTTTTCTGAGCACCAGCTGCTTCCCCATGAGAAGGCACTTGCCTCCAGCCTGCTGTCAGCTCTGTCTGCTCTGCCTGGGCATCTTATTCGAAAGCTTCAGCTGGAAAACACACCCTTTCATTCTTTCAGTATGAAAGTTTTAGATGAGGCTGGTGGGTGACCCTGTCAGCTGCTTTAAAGGGAAATCTCAGTGTGCAGTTACTGTTCTGTGGCCTGCAGAGAGGGAATTACAAGTTCACCTGACGTTTGAGATGCAACATTTCCCTTCTGCCGAGGCTGATGCCAAGGGGCTTGTGTTGAATCAGTCTCATTCTCACACTTTGGTCATTTAATTCCTTTCTTACAACACACTAACTGCTTCCACTCTGGCTCTGGTTGCTTAGTGATTTACCAAGAAACTCTAACATAGGTGCCTGTAACCTTTTACTCAGAGCAACACTAAAGGAATAATAACCCAGAACTGGATTAGTTCTGATGGCAGGGTTAGAGGGTTAGTCTGGGGCCTTCTCCCCTGCCTCGTGGTCTCCTGTGCAGTGTTAATGATGCAGTTTTGAATTGTTAATTACTGTGAGCCATTCCAATGGTAGCAACTTACCTTTCCATTTGTTTTTTTTTTGCACTGTTTTTTCGTTATGAAACGATGTAAGCTAATTCCATGGTGTATATAAATTGTATTTTTTTTAAATTTGTATGAATATATTTTTATTTGAACTATGGCACTTGGGAAGTATTCATGTGAACCATAACATGTCTGAGAGTAAAATGTTTGTGTGTCTCCTTCAGCACTTTCAAGGCCTTTTGATGTTTCTAGTATTGTTTTATTTTTGCCCTTTTGATGTTTTTAGCACTGTTTTATTTTTGCCCTTTATGATAATAAAACTAGTAGAACATGGCAACATCCAAGAGCATGATTTGAGGGAGTTGAGTAGTTGCTATTTATGAGCTGTCTGGATCTACAGTTTGTGCAGAGGGTGCTCTGGGGGTGGGCAGAGAGGAATGTGTGATCCTTTAGGTTGTGACCACTGTTCTCCCACAACAGCTATATCAAAGGAGGGGATTCCCAGTGTTTGATAAGGAGCTGAATTGTGCACGTGGTGCTGCTTTCCTTACCTGAGAACTCACCTTCCTCCCAGTAAGTTAATGAAAGAGGCTCAGAGTGCAGTGTGGCACCTCTTGGTTTTTCAGGTGGCTTCTCCAGGATGTGAAAAATCTTAATTTAAACTTTTATTTAGTTTGTGGCTATCTTTCCTGCTTTTGTCCTGCTGTCTGCCTTACAGAAAAGTATTTTGTGACACTTTTTGAGCTTTCATCACATGCTTGCAGGCCAAAAATGTCAGTAAATGCAGTCTTTGAGCACTGCAGAAATACCTGACCCCAAAATCTCACAGCCTTTCCATGTTTATCTGGATCAAGGGCCGTGTTGTACAGGATGCACATAACTCTGCAGTCTAACACCCCACAGCTTGTCTGGCTCCTGCCCTCTGGCTCTCCCCTGTGTCTGTGTAGTGCCAGGGAAAGCCTGAAATGGGTAAAACCTTCTCTTGGGAGGGGATGGCAGAAAGGCTGTGCTTGGGAGCTGAACAAGTGCCACAGTGGTTTTAACTGAGCTGTGCTTCTGGCAAGGGGTAGGAGGGGATCATCAGGAGAAAGGAGTGGGGGAACTCTGCTTCAGCTCTATGCTGCCTTTGGTCAGAAATGCAAGGGTGTAGGAGGGAATGAGAGAGGTTTATAGACTCATTAAATCCATGTGTGTTCCTGTACCTGCACACCAGAGCTCTAGCAGAAAAATTTCCAGAATCACAGAATATTCTGAGTTGGAAGGGACCCACAAAGATCATTGAGTCCAGCTCTTAAATGAATGGCCCATTCAGTGAGATTATTATTTTTTCAATTTTTGCTTTACTTCCGCTTGTGTACATACCCATACAGGTGTGTGGTGTGTGCATTCCCATACGGGTGTGGATCATGCAGCACACGCAGGAAGGAACAGGGATGGCTGCCCTGAGCTTTGGCTCTGTGTGTGTGTGTGAGGAGAGAGTGAAGCTGCTCTTCTTGTCCAGGGTGCTGAAGTGCTTTCCAGCAGTGGTGGGATACACTCGGCCTCTTCTGCACCCGCTGTTTGTTCACATGCAGTTGTGGAAAGGGCTTGTTGGGAGCTGGAATGAGACATCAGTGAGTTCCACCATCTGGGAAGGGAGGGGTATCAGTCTGTGAGGTTTGGATGCTGAGATCACTGTTAAGTGAGCAGGGTGTCCCTTCTCTGGGGACACGTGCAGGAATGAAGGCACAAATCCCTGTGTGGGCTGGGTATGGTTTGACACACATTTTAATGATCCCTTAAGCATTTTGGAGCAGACACTGGACCCCCACATGTACCAGTTTCAGTAGACAAACTTAGGAAACAATGCTGTGTTGACAGCTCACAATTCTAACAGGTAAGACAGGACAACCCTGAACCCCTTGCTGACTCCCCCAGCAGCTCCTTGATGCCTGCACTAGAGAATATCTCTTGGGATGGCTGAACTTAAACGCTGGTTTTGTCTTTCCTTTGCTTCCTTCCAATTGCCAGCATAGCAGGCCTGACTGTAGCTGCCTTCCCACCACCCTCTGTTTTCTTAAAACTTCCCCTACTCCCAACTCTGCTTCTGTTTCTGTTCAGCATTGTGCTGGTTTTCCCAGAGAGCAGATAGGAGATGGTAAGGGAGGGGGAAGGTCTTACAAATCATCCTTCCTTCCCACATAAAAGTGTGGGACACACTTATCAAGCAGATGTCAATCAGCAAATGCCTTTGGGGCCCAAGATTCAGGGAAAGTAAATCAAGCAAGCTGGCTGTGGCCAGCCTGGGATGTGAGCTGGCACAGCTCCACGTCTCCCTGCAGCAACGGAGGGTGTGTGCCCTGTGCTCCACACATGATTTCTTAGAGAAACAAAGCAGTGCTGACAGCTCCTCTTGGCATTCTTGTCTGCAGACTTGGATTCCAGTGAAGCATTTCATCTAGTGGGGAGCTGGAAAGGGATAGTGCGGTGTCTGAGGGGCAAAGAAACCATCATATCCAGTTTGCAAATAAAGCCCACGCCAAGCAAACCGCTTTTCCAGCCAAAGCTCGTGCCTTATAGAGTTCATGGAGCATGCTGGTGGAATTGCTGGGTTTCAGAGCTCTAAGGACAGAAAGCTGCTGAATTATGCACTGCTCATAAGGGGTTCTGCCAGGAGCTGTTGGGAAGTGAGAATGAAGTTCTGGCATGGCAGGAGGTGGCAAATGTCATCAGAGCTGGGTGGAGGGTGTGAGCCTGGTCCTTCTCTGATCCCACTGGGATATTTCTTTGTTTGCAGGTGGCTGTTCCCAAGGCTGTTCCCTGCTCTCTCTGATCCAGCCCTCACATCAGCAGTGGTGGCTTTGCCCGTCCTTGGGGTGATGCTCTTTGCCTGCAGAGCCCATCAGCGCCAGGTTCCCCTCATTCAGCTTTTCCCTGTGCCTGTTCCTGTGTGCAGCCCTGTTCTGACCTGGCTGTGGGATTTCCCTGAGGGAGCTTTACAGCTCAGTGTGTTTATGGGAGCAGCAGTAAAAATCCAGTCAGAGGTGCTTTTTTCCTCGATTGCTTACCCTCAATGAGGTTCTCCCAGACCCCAGGGTCCATTAACTTACTGTCTGCCAGCCAATACAGACTTGTTCCACCAGGAACTGGCTTGCTGTTAATACTGGACCCACCTGCCTTTGGGTCAGGCAGCATCGACTCTTCTTGCCATTTTTAGCACATTCCACTGAACTAATTAGAGTTTTGTGCCCTGAGGGGCTGACAGGGAGGGACAATTTACAGTGTCTGTGCAAGTTTTGCTTGACTGGGTAAAATTCAGTTCCAGCAAGAGTTGTTATTGTTAGAATAAGTGGATTGTTTTTACTTCCCCTTATAGCAGCACATGGGAAGTCGGGCTGTTGCCCATTCCTGGTGTGGAGGGATCCACCTGTGTGTTCCCATCTTGCTGCAGTGGGAAACAGGTGTGTTTGGAAAGCCTGTTTGAGAGGACAAAGCCCCATTGTCCCCACAAAGGCTCCCCAAAGGGTGACTTCACACCCCCTTGATCTGTGAAACTGCCTCTGAGTAAATGCTAAGTCACTGTAGCTTTCACTGCAGAGATGTCTCATGGAAGCTGCTGGGAATTCATTCTCCTGACAGTGAAACCTGTGTGGACACTTGCACAGATGTTTTACCTTTAGCTGCCATTGCTGGAAGGAGAGGCTCTGATGTGTGATTTCTATCACACTAGGTGTGGTTTCCTATTGGAGTGGAGCAAAATGATCCCCCTCAGATTAGACTTCTATTCTTCTTCCCTAGGGAAGAATCACAAGGCCCAATGTGGCAGGGAGCACCCAGGTCCCTCCTAGAGGCTGTGCCAGCAGGGCAGGGAGGGACTGGCAGGGTGGCTTGTCAGAAACGTGTGTGGCACGAGCCCTGTTCAAGGGGTGCAGCAGCCTTAGCTGTGACAGGGGTGGTGTGCACTCAGATTTACCCTTTCCCTGTAGCTGTGGTCCCTGAGAGCCTTTGTGAGCAGCTGTCCCAGCCCTGGAACACCTTCCTCCCACAGCCTGTCCTGGCCAGGTGTTGTTCTTCTCTCCCTGTGCATTTGCAGGAACAAAGTCAGAATGGGACTATTCCAGTTGAGTGTGTCCTGTTGCTCCTTTCTCAGGGCCCTGAACAAGCTTCCCAGGGTACACCAGTACCTGGGAATGGACTGAGATTCTTGGAATGAGGCTCATGAGGTGCTCAAAATAGCCCGGTTCCCAGCCGTGTGTGCAGTCACAGGACAGTTGTGTTGGGCTGGGCTCGATGCCATTGTTGGGGCTGATGGGATTCTGAGCTGTTTGGTCCTTGGGATGGTGACTGAACGTGCACTTGGCAATATCACCTTCTTTGTTGGAGGGGAGAATATATTTTGGGTCAAATTCAGCTCCTAAGTGTGAAATCTCACTTAACAAAGGTTAAACAAAACCTTGATCAGCCTTGCAGTGTTCCCATCAGCCCTGTCAGAACAGCTTTGTGAGGGCCCATTCCCAGAAAGTGATAAATAAAGTTCTGTACAAGCTGCTTTGTAATTGGAGTGATCCCACCTGCCCTCTCATGAGGAATATTCAAGGATTATTCAAAGAATCCTTCAAGAAATGCTGGGAATCAGCATCTCAGCCACGTGCAGAGTGAGACAAGACACAGTTACTGATGTATCTTTCTGTTGATGCTCGTAACCTTTATTTGGCCAGTGCTAGAAAGCAAATACAATGAATTCCCTTTCCTCCCTCTGGTTATTTTGAAACTCGTGGAGTGTTATAATTTTTCTTATTTCTTTCCATGTAAATTTTGCTTAGGTGGGGGATTTGTGGCAGTTCCTGTGACTGAATAATCTAAACCAGCAAAAGGACTCTCTTGTTACTGAAACCCTGTCTATGTATGTTGGTCTTTCAATGTTGAACAAGCTTTTTTTCCCTGCTAATCTGTTAGAATTTTTTAGTGCAGATGGAAAAACTCTAGTGAAAAGCTCAGTTTCTACCAAGTTCATACTTTCTCTATCTCATGTAAGTAAGATCCAGCCTTGTGGGTACCAGAATACCAATAAAACTTAGGATTTTGACTTTAGGAATATACAAGAAAATTTAATGCAACAGACAGGAGAGAGGTCCAGCATAGATGTCTAATGTGTTAGTTTTATTTAAAGATGGTCTCTTGGTGCTAGAGCAAGAAATGTTCTTTAAAAAAACATCAAATAAATAAATAAATAAATAAATAAAAATAGGAATAACTTTCTGTTGAGGAGCTTGGAAAGCATCTGGCTTTCATCTTGGGAGGAACAGGTACTGTAAAGCATTCTTCAGAGCAGGGAAGAGGGAGGTTGATCCTAATTCCTCCGGGAACCTGCAAACCAAACATGAAATAAATGTTACTAAAATCTGTTTCTGTTTCAGTCTGTGGCACCGTCGTCAACAGTGCTTTTGAAAAAACAGTACTGGCTTAAATACTCGGCTAAAATTAACTCCTTTCTCAGACTGTGTCTTCTTAAAGATTTAAAGGGCTGCTCCTCCCCCGTGGTGGCACAGTCAGTCACTCACCGTTGCAGCCCATCCCGCTGAGGGAGCCGATCCGATCGATCCTCCTCCCGAAGCACCCGGAGTCTCTCATCATCCTGGGCATCTGCAGCCCCCTCAGCCTCTTGAGGACGGGGTCCCTGTAGGACAGGGGGGTGTTGGGTGCCAGCCTGGGCTCAGCCTTCTGGTCCTCACTGTCATCGTCGAGTTCTGGGCGGATCTCCTCCTGGGGTTTGGGCTCTTGCAGGTCAGGGTTAGGCTCCAGGGCTTCAATCATTGCAAACTTATCCTCCAGCCTCTCCAACAGAGCCTGTAAGAGAAGGATTAAGTTCGTGAAACTCCTAGTTTTGTGCTCATTTGCTAAGTCTTCCAGTCATCCCGTTCTGCATTCATCAGTAGTCCCATGGGAGACTGTCAGGTTGGATCCCAGGTCCTTGAGCTCTGTCCTCTGCACTAAATCCCTGCTCACAGCAATTCCATCTATAGGAATTTACAGCTGTGAGCTGAATGAAGCTGCTTGACACCAAGTGTGTCTTACTGGCAAGGTTACAACTCTTGACAGAGGAAAAAAAGCCCAAGGTCTGAGTTGCACAGGGAGCTACCACTCAGCCCACAGTGGTACAGCCTCAGAGAACCTTTGGATCCATAACCATGTTCTCAGAAGCTGCTGCTTTGTCACCCCTGGCTATTTCAGTGGACACCTCTTGGAGAAGCTCTTGGTGTTTTCACTGATCTCTGCCCAGGGGGTTACAGGATTGCTGCTCCTTAAAGCAACCAAAAATACCCCTGTGCTGAATTATTGCCTGCTGAGTGATTTCTGTGTAATTTGTACAGCTTTGTGTGACAGGGATCAGATAACCTTCTCAAGGGCAGCTCAACCAATTAGAGGAACCTAATTGCCCATCTCTGGAAGTAGAATAGAGAGGAGTGAGCCTCATGGCTTGCCTGACAATGTATTTGGAAGCCGTTCTTCTTGGCTGCTGCAAACAGCCCAGAGGCACAGGGTGGTTTTAGCTACAGCTGACACTGTCCCAGTATCTCAGGGAGTTTGTTCTCAGGCCCTGAGAACAGCTGTGAGAAGCTGGTCACTGGTACCAGACCAAGGAAAGGTTTGAGCTTTCAAATTTCATCTTGCGAGCCTGAGTCTTAAGCTCGTGTTGTGCTGCAACAATGGATGTTCTCTGTCACTCATTAGAGTTTGCACTTGGTAATTTCATAGCTCTGGAAGCTTTCCTGGGTGAGCCACACTAAATGATTATAGTATTCCTCTAGAAACATTTCTAAAATTTGACTTTGGGTGCTCCACTTAACCTCCCCATCTCCCATCCATACACAAATCTCTCAAATTCACAAAGCCAGAGCCCTGTGGCTGCCCTGCTTCACTGCTCCTGCCCTTTAGTGGGGTAGAGAGGACCCCACTTGAAAGTTTTCTGTTTGTTCTTATAGAGCTACTCTGAAGATTTTTTTTATCCTCTCTGGAGCTTTGCCCCCAAGGAGATGGATCTTTAAGAGAAAAGAACCAAAACCCCAAAGCAGACATCCCCACAGCATCGCAATTTTAATTCCCAGTGCTGCCCAGGAGCTCAGGTGAACCCAGCCCAGGAGGATATTGCCCTGCAGAGCTTCTCTGAGCCCCTGTGAAGAGCTGAGGCTTTGTCCCCTGGCATGTGGTGGCCAATGTGGCCATTGCTGTCTGAAGGCAAAGCACCACCTCACACTCTGCTGAGCACCCCCAAAGTTTAAACCTGAGAAGAGAGAGAGTCCTCACCTCCATGCTGGCCAGTTCTTTGGCAGGGCTGAGGCTGTAGATGGGGTTGGCTCTGCTGGACTGGAGCTGGATGAGCAGCAGCAAGAGGAAGCCATAGAAAAATGAGCCTTTAGTGTCCATGGCGCCGAGTTGGTTGGGAATAGTGAAGTTCAAGCTGTCTCTTCTGAGATGTCCCTTCGGATCTCTCTATTCCTTGTCCTGTCCTGTCTCTTCCGAAGCTCGTCTTTTATACTCTTGGGGTGTGATCTCTGCTTCCTGGGTTATCAGGGGGTTTATCTTGGGCACATTCCAGTCCCACTGCAGGCATGCAGCTCTGTCAAGGGAAGATTCCCTTTATTAGCTGTCATTAGGCAGCAGCCGCCGTTGCTGAGGAATGTATGTCACAAGTCAGTGATTTCATGTCACTCCCCCTCCTCTTGATACCAGGGCAGTGATTACACGATCCAGTTGGAAATTCTTAGCAATTTTCTTTCAAGAATGGTCAGATTTACGGAGACGGGAAACAATCCCGAAACTGCTCTAAACTCTGCTCAGTTAGAAGATTTCCACAGAGAAATTACCTTTTACAGGGAAAACAGAAGGCTTTTCAGATGAAGAGTAAAGGCTGAAGATAAATCTACTTTTAGGACACCTACAGCATTGTGCACACTTCCCTTCTATATATGGAATATGCGTGGCCACCGCATACCACGGAGTGTGCTGAAAATCCCAGATTTGGGCCAACTTCTCTTTTCCCAGTGCTGTCGAGGTGATATCACCGTTGAGACTTTGTGTGTTCCCAACAGCAGCAGCACCTCGATCTGCACCTCAGCGAGGACTGACTCTGCAGGGACAGCGAGTGCCTCCAGCCCTCTGTGCCGATTGCTCTGGCACCGCCGAAAACACTGCCCCTGTTAACAGCCAAACCTGTAAATAATGGGATTTCTCTAAACATCGATGGTAAGGCTTGACCCTACAGCAGTAAAATTGAAAAGCCAGGTGGCCAGATACAGGAATAATCTTCTTGTACCCTCATGCAAGAAAGAAACTTGCTCGATGAGAAATTTCAATAGACGGCTTTCGGTGTTATTCAGGAAGGAATCAGAATCTGTCCCCAAGGAAGAATGGGTGAATTTGTGTCTATATGTGCTTTGGGAGAGGTTAAAATGAAATCTTCAGTTTAATAGATTAAAAACAAAAAGTATTTATTTATTTGAATGCTGAAGTTTAGCTAAAACCTGCCTATTCTTAAATGAAATACAGATTTGCTGCAAATTCCTCTTCCACTGTTGTCTTTATGCATATAGTGCAATTAAAAATAAGCCTTTTTTTACAGAAGTGCAAAGGTTCTAAATTGTGAAGCACATTGTTTGCCCCACATTTTCCTAACGTTTCTTTTTATTTTAAATTGAAACAAGAATGAATGTCTATAATTTGTTGACTTTTCATATGAATATAGATCTTGAAAGGATCTCCTGATTAGTTTCTAAATAATAAAACAATGATAAAATATTTCTCATGTCTTAAATGTTTTTAACATGGTGTTTGTGTACAAACATGTGGCCATACTGTTCACATGATCAGCTACCAAAATTATACTGGAAAGGACATTCCCAAGGTTGTGGAGTCATGTTCAGATGCTACTTTTCCCTAATATAGTCTGAATTCAGCCCAACTCCGTGTGTGTTCTCATGAAACCCTTTATTATAACAGCTTTCTCTATTTTTCCTCCATGCTTTCTTTTTTCAGTAAATGGAAGAAATGCTCTTTTTTTGTGTGTTATCCCAGCACATTCTTGTTTTGTGCTATTAAGAACTAAGATCCTGATAGCTTCTTTTTTTTGTATTTTTTAATTAACACTCCATGATGCAGTGTCTGTATAATTCACTAATTAGTTACAATCATTCTCTTCCTCCTGCTCTTGGTGTGTGTATGCGTTTGTTTACACTGAGGTGTAAATTTGTTTTGTAAACTGCAAAAGTGTGAGAATATAAACCAGAATTATTCATTAATATCCAGTGTCCAATTTAAGATAATTAAGATCTCTTATTGCTGTATTTTTTGGTTCTTTCTTTTCACACACACACACACACAAACATCCACCCCCACACACTAAATATTCTCTAGTGCTGTCTCTGCACAGAAACATTTTGTCACTTGCTCTGAGCTTTGCTTTGTGGGGGGTTTTTTTGTACAGTAAAATGTCAGAACTCAGCTCATCACTGTTGAAGCTCTAAAAATCACTTGTTTGTTTGTTTTATTTCAGTGTCGCCACCCTGGTAAGATGAATGTGAAGTTAAGGCTTTATAGCCCGGCGATGGATAGTCAGGATCCAGGCATTGCCTGTGCTCAGCTGGGCATTTCCCCGGTAAAACCCTTGTCAGGAGCCTTAACAGGGCAGCAGGTTCTTATAAAAACCTTGATGTGACTGGTTTTAGGGTTGGGAAAATGTCATGTTTCCTCAGCATCGTAGGGTGTGGGGTGGGAGGTGTGAGGACGTGAGGGTCCCTTAGAGCAGCTCTGGTCGCTCAGAGCAGAGAGGGGGAGCACCAAAGGTGCTGCCGCGGCCCCGGGTGAGGATCCCTGCGAGGAGGAGGATGGACAGAGCTCAGCTGAGGGTCACGTTGCCCCTTCCCCGGCAGGAGGATTCTGCGCCCTCGTTTTTCAGCCCTGTAAGGCTGAGGACTGTAAGCCCTTGGGTGGTGCCGCGTGGATTCCTTCTGCTGATAAACCTGTCCTAAGTGCTGCCCCGACCTGCCGCACGTCCCTCCCGTGATGTCCATTCTCCTACTGCCGTTTGCGGCTGAAGAGTCTGAGCTGATTGTAAGGAACCTTTGTAGTCGCCTTTGTTCTGAGGAAGAGGCTGGATTTGGATTCCTTTCATCTCCCAGTGATTAAACCCTTTGACAAAACTATACCATACCCCACCCAAGCTCTCTTTCCCTGCAGTTTGGTTAGACTGAGAAGGAAATTAAGAGATGAGGCAGTGTGAGAATCAAAAGGGAAATCTAAAAACGTCCAGAGCTGCCATGCTGCGGTTAAGAGAGTTAAGTGGTACCTCACTTTTTCCAAGGGGGGGAATTAATTTTCATCCCAAGCATGGAGTATTTCTCCCGATGATTGGGATGTGTGGCGGCTGCCCCTTTCTGTGCTGGACTCTCCAGGCTCAGTGCGGGCAGCAGGGAGCTCCGGGCAGGCGAGGGGAGCCGGGCAGAGCCCGACAGAGCCCGGCGGTGCCGGCGCTCGGCGTGCAGGGGACTGGCGTCTGTCCCGGGTGCTGAAGCCCTGGCAGCCCTTCATCCGCAGCCAGATGTATTTTTAAAGCGATGAAGTCCCTCTGTTCTCAGCGGCCCCCTCTGTGCCAGCCTGCCGTGCCAAACCTGGCGCTGGTACCAGCGGATTAGCCCATGGCACAGGGGTGCGAGCAGGACAGCACCTGGAATTAACCCCGAGCCCGGCGCCCACCTCCTGTGGGAGCGTTCCCTGCCAGCAGCCGTGAAGCCATCGGGAAAGGCAGCCCGGCTCCCTGCCGCGGTCCTGGAGCTGGCAGCGGTGCCGGGCACTGTCTCTTCAGTGCAGCGTGGAGGGTCACGGGACTGATCATCGTCCTGGAAGGATGTAACTCCCATCCTTCCCCCTGCTGCGACCCTCCCCAAAGGCTTGTCCAGACCGCCTGGGGTGCTCTGGCCAGGGTCGGGACAGCTCTGAGGGCAGAGGGAGAAGAGCGCTCTGGAGGGGGTTTCTGTGTCTTCTGATCGTGCGCTAGGCCATGACTGGGAAAAAAGAACAAACACTCAGAAAAAGCAATGCAGGCTTTGTACAAAAGTTTCTTGCTCCGCACCCCACTGCCGCGGGTCCGGGGGCAGCCGGGCTGTCCGGCTGCTGGACACTGGCCTGGAGGCTCAGGGAGCGCCTGGGAGCCGGGCCCGGCTTCAGCTTCTCCTCCAGAAACCTGGGAGAGGAGGGCAGGGAGCTGCGGCGGGAGCCGCTCCGAGCCTTCAGCCGGGGACAGCGGCCGCTCCCGCCCCGCTCCGCCCCGGCACCCACGGGCTCGGAACCGGCTGCATCCCAGCCCCGTCCTCTCCCAGCTCGCCCCAAAGCAGCCGGAGAAGGGCCCCGGTCGGAGGGAGGCCCCTCATCGGCTCTGCCCCTCACGGCACCGGGGTCCGCAACCCCGGGAGCTCCCGCTGGACCCGCCGCCCTCAGCGCCGGCCACGGGCGGGTCCTCCAGGCCTGGCTCCCCGTCCTCCCCCGGAGCTGCCCCAGTGCCTCCAGGAGGTCCTGCCGAGGGAAGGAGAGGGGGGATATGGATCCCCGCCTCGGCGGGACGGAGCCCCGGCTGGTTTTGTTTAAGGCATCACAGCAAAGAAGAGCCTGGCGGAGAAATGAGGTGTGTGTTCTGAAGGCAGGGAACACGAACGAAGGAAGCTCGCGCCAGGTGGGAGTGTTGTGTTGATACAGAATAGGAGCAGATATGGGTGAGGATGCGAATCAACCCCGATTTTGTGTGTACTAGAGACAGACAGGAATGGAGAGGGATAAAGCAGTGAGAGTGTACAGGACCTGTGTGATGACCAAGGGGAATAAATACAGTTTAGCCCTCTAACAATAAACTAGTCAGAAATGAGTCTTGGATGAGACCAGATCTCGACTGCTGCCTGACATCACTTATAATCAGGTTCCCCAAAAGCAGACACATTTGAGAAAGATACATCTATGTTTCTTTCTGTGTAGGAGCAGTTTTACTGGGGGCTTTTCTCCTCAGCCACTTCTGTAATCCTGGTCTGTAAATTCATGAACTGCTGCTTAGCAGATGGAAACGGCACAGCCAGAGATGAGCTTCCCCCATCTGACCGGCATCCTCACTTCAAAGCTTAGCTCTGGTTATTGAAATGCTAATAGAACTCGGCAAATTACCTAAAATACAAACACACTTGGCTTCAGTCCTGGGGATCTAATTATGGAGCCTTTTATGTGAAATAAATTGTTCTTGCTTTCTGAAAAGTGGCTTTTTAAAATGTTCCCACAAAATGCCAGGTGATGGGATGGCACGTTACCAGCTCGGCCACTATAATTGCAGCTCTTATCTGTTTCTTGTTCATCTTCTGTAGGATTCTGTTCACAAGTGCTCCCAGCTCAGACTTGAACCTCCTCTGCCTCCTGTGATTTTCCTGCAAATAACTTCAATGACCCACAGTTTATGTTAATGTAGCTGAGTTTGGAAACAAGCTGAGGATGTTCAGGAAACAAACTCCAGTAGCACTTACCCTTCATTGGATTTGCATCGAAATTTCGATGTTGGGAAGCTTTTGTGCCTGTGAGAATGTCCCTGCTCTGAGGGTTACTGAGAGCTGGGAGCGAGCTTTAAACTCAGGATTAGTAGGAAGGGAGCTGTAACCTTCCCATTAGCGACTGTCACAAGGTCCTGGTTCCTCAAAAGTAAGCAGGTCTGCTTCTTCTTAGCCTAAGTAAATTGTTAGTTTTAAGCCATGTATAGTCTATTTATTGATAGGGAATTACGGTGAAAACTGCTTTGTTCTTTCATCTTCCATTCCTGACTTTAAGTCTTCATCTGGCTGATGAAATCCTTAATTTTCTTGTGATTTTTGCTTAGGAAAGGCAACATAGAGCATAA